CCCTACTCCTTGAGCCACAGGTGCCACCCAGAAAGCTCTATCTTTAAGAAAACTTTCAGACTAATATTCTGACATAGAAACTTAAAATACCTGTCTAACAACAGACAATGATAGATTTAGGAAGATTTCATTTTAAACAAACAAAGCCAAAACTGAGCTTCAAAAGAATTGGGGAATTCTACAGAACAACAAGGATCAACCCCTGATACTGGGTATTCACATCACATAGGTGTCCCCACTGTCTCCGCAGTCCCCACTCTCTTCCCCTTTCCCTTGCCAGGCCCTCCACCGCACCTCACTCAGCTACCCCCACCTCCAGCCAGTCTCTTTCCTGCCTACCATCCTCTATACCACAGTGCTATTGTGGCAAGTTTAGGTGTGACACTACAAGGTTTAAATACCTTTAATAAATCTGAACTGACTTCCATTTAAAAAAGCATAAGTTGCTTAGCATTGCATTCAAGGCCCCTCCTCTTAGCCTCAGCCTATCCTTGGACATTCACCCCCAAGTACCCTTCATTCTCTAGGCTTCCCTCACCCCAGACCTAGAGCAATTTCTTATGCTGCTTGAAATTTCCTGCCTGCCCTTCTACCCGGCCAGCTCTACCCACCTCAAATATCACAATTTCTGACCTACTCCTGTGCCTAAATTATTAGAGCCCCCATCAATATTCTCACAGCCCTTCCTGCATGGATGTACATGAACTCCTTTCATTCTGTCTGGTAATTAACTGTTGACACGTCTATTCACTTCTAAACTTCCATAATTGTAGGTTCTTTCCATTCATCTTTCAAACCTTAACGGAATCGATGTTTAGATCATAAGAGGCACTTAATAAGTATGTGTTGAATGAAGGGAGGCACAGGAGCTTTAAATGGGTTTTGGAGGACAAATAAGGTGACAACAGATATTAGTTGCAGGTGAAGGGGGCTGGAGGGGGGAGGCCATGAGGCTAATAAGAAAGAGCCACATTGTTACATTAAAGAAGCAATTTAACCACAGAGTAAAACAAGCCTTGAAACATAGTAAGAGAGAAGGCATGAAACTAATTAGCTAATTTTACAGTTCAGACAAGGGGGGGGGGAGCTTGAACTCAGGTGATGGCAATGAAATAGAAAAAACATCAGGAGATGAACATCTTCCTTAGAAATGAAATCCCCACGCTTTACATTATAGTATTCTGTGTGTGTAAATTATTTAATCTTCTTACATTTTCTTGTAAATTCCTCTAATGGCTATTCCATATCATCACATACCCTCTTTTTATTTTTGATTTAACAGAAAGAGTTGACTTGAATTGACAGAAACTAGTCCTTTGATTTTTGCTCAGAAAGTTGACATTTCATGAAAAGTCAAGAATCCACTTAAATTGCTATCTCTCTTACAATTGATTATGTAACTTACCTGGCACTATAAAATGTAAAACAGCTCGAAGGGCCTCCAGCTGCACTGATGGTGATGTCTCATGACTTTTCATAACTGTTATTATTTTGGGAACCACAGCTGCCATTGTATCCACAGAAGTGTTACTGGAGATATAAAATGACATGCTTATTAAAATAACAATCTGATTCAATGGTACAAACATCAAACCGAAACATGTATAGGAAAACAGAAAAGGCTATATGAAAATACTTCCAAATTCGGTAGTATAAGCATACGTAATTTTAACTGTTCATCTAATTTAACTCTGACCTCCAAAAGTAGAATTCCCAGTAACCTGGAGATTATTTCACTTTGCTTCATAAAACTCATAATTTCCTTCTGATCTATGTTATAGGTCACTTGCTGTAACCCCCCAAAGTGTCATTATCCCCATTATCCAGATGAAGAACTTAGATGGACGGAAGTTAAATATCACAGTCCTGTCACCAGAAAAAGACAGAGTCAAGGCTGGTTTCCAAGCTCATCTGACTTCCAAAGCAAAGACGCTTTAATCACATCAACCCACCTGGCTTACAGTAACATCACTAGACTTCTTACCTGGTATTCTAAATTATTTTGTGTTTAAAATAAAGCCCTGGCTCAACGCCTGTACGTAAGTGGTTAGGGTCCCAGCCACATATACCAGGGCTGGTGGGTCCGAATCTGGCCCAGGCCTGCTAAGCAACAAAGACAACAACAACAACAACAACAAACATAGCCAGGTGTTGTGATGGGCGCCAATAGTTCCAGCTACTTGGGTGACTGAGGCAAAAGAATCACTTAAGCCCAGGCGTTTGAGGTTGCTGTGAGCTGTGTCTACTGAGGGCAACATAATAAGACTCTGTCTCAAAAAATAAAAAAATAAAAGTAAAGCCCTGGTTTCTCTAAGGCGTGTAAGCTATTCTTTCTTTCACATATGAACAAATGTCACTTGACTAGATTTCAGCAGTTACTATGAATTTCAGTGCGACCATCCTTGCTTTGCATAGTTCCACGTTAGCAAAAACTCGCACATATCAAAACCACGTTCTCCCTTTCCATGGTTCCACGGTAACTGAGATATACTCCCTCTTAGCCACTTCAAAGTCCCAGCTTAAACACATCCCTTCTTTGGACCACCCCTCCTTTGTGATGACAGCTGGGCTCAGTGTGCTCTTTCTGCCGTCATTGACACAGCACTGCCACTGCCCTCCCCTCCTGACTCTTCCGCGTGCTCTGTGTACGTCGTACCCGTCTCCACACCTCACCAGTGAGTCTGGCAGGTGCAGGCATGTTGTCATTGCTAACTCGGAATCCCCAGGACTGGAACTGTACACATTTTACATATGAGAAAACATCCAGAAGTATGCCTTGCCCAGAATCTACAAAATCCCAGAATTATTCCGCTGTCTTTACCCAATGTGTTTTTGCCTCATTGGTAAAGGTTCACACACTTTTGGAACCATTAAAAAATCCACATTTAAAATAATCTTCTCCATGAAATATTCAAGAGCACAACAAGATCTGATATACAATAAAATGCATAGTAGCCGGAATGATGTTGAAAACAGTAGAATTCCACTTCTTAGAAGTCAGTAGATGGACTATGGAACAGTTTCTTACACTGATACATTTCTTTTATTCACATTTAAAAACAGTATAAAAATAGCTATTATTTAGAGAGTGCCTAAAAGGTACCAGGCATTGTCCTCATTGTGTTATAAAAATTTATTTAATCCTTACACTATAAACTTACAACTTTCCAGGTTATTATTACTTTTTTTTTTAAATTGAGACAGTTTCACTTTGTCACCCTTGATCGAGTGCCCTGGCATCTCACAGCTCTCAACAAACTCCAACTCTTAGGCTTAAGCGATTCTCTTGCCTCAACCTCCCAAGTAGCTGGAACTACAGGTGCCTGCCACAACGCCCGGCTCTTTTTTGTTTGTTTTCCCAGGCCCAGGCTGGGTTCAAACCCACCAGCCGTGGTGCATGTGGCCGGCGCCCTAACCACTTACTTACGGGCACCATCCCAGGATGTTATTATTATCCCTCTTAACTAGTGAGGAATCTGAGGGCTAGAAACCAAATAGTGGTTCAAATTAGTGGCAAAGCCAGGAATAAAATTAGTTTTACGGCAACTTCTGTTCCATTTATTTTTTTTCTTTTTCTTGTGACAGTTTCCTACATAGCCTCTTTTGTTTGAAATTTACTCAGGCAGTGTCAAAGTTATCTCACAATTTTTGACTTAATAAAATGTACAATGGCACTGAGCATATCCTGCTTTCAGCATCTTCTGCATAGAACTCAGTCTTTCAAACAGGTCTTTATAAGCCAGACGTTCTGTCTCTACCTGTCCACTCCCCTTCCTCCATCATCGCCCACCCCCACATAAAAGGATCTGGTCTGGGCTGGGTCCTTAAGCACCTATATAATCCCACCATCTCTGAACTTGGACTCGGTGTGACTAAAAGCTTCCCTTGCTAAGAAAAGAGAACAATAAGAAAAGAAGTCAATTCAAATGCAGGAATAATAATAAATAAGGTATTAGTTCTGAAAGAGTGACAATTTGAAGTCATATCCTGATTTTATCTTTTATACTTTTCACACACAATAATTTGAAAAACTGTTTATGCTATGCCCTATCATTACCATTTTTCAAAACAGTCAGTCCCAAGCATTAAGTGCCAAGCACAAAAGCAATCCCTCAACATATTTTTATAATCTCTGCCATTCCTTTCCATGTTAAGATAAAACAGATAAAATAAGTTTATGATATCAATGACACAAGATTACATTCGAAAACACTATCGTGCCAATGTGATATGACCTCCATATCACACCTCCATGAATCTATAGTACCTTCCTTCAAAAAGATGGTTTAGCATTCTACAGCCACTTTCAGCCACTTCAGGAGAATGTAGGTGCTTCTGCATCAACTCCAAAACATTCAGATAGATTCCTTTTGACAACAGGATCTTTCTGAAATTAACTACAAGATTTTTTAATTGTTACTTGAAGAAATGAAGGCCTGTTTTCATACTTTGCAATAAGATGTAGAATATTAAAAGATAGTCCAAATTCATGGGAGAGCATATACAAGAACATACATCATTTAGAGTTCATTGACAACTTAAAGACAATACTTACTTCTTTAAAACATATACATTTTCAACTTTTTCCTATTAACCTTTTGCTGAAGTTCTAGTTATAAATTTTTTTTATAGAAGAGAGTAGTTTCAATATAATCACTACATCTCTGTGTGAAAAGAGTGTTTCTGCAGAAAAGAATTATTTAAATGATGCTTTTCAAAATAAGAATGAAGATTAAACTGTAATCTAATACTTAAAACAAGTTCACAAATAATCCTACTTCTGCAGAACAGAGACTGGACAGATACTCTACTGGGGATGTCCAATCTGCAGCCTGTGGGCCAAACAAAGCCTGGACAGATACACTTCTGGGGATGTACAACCTGTGGCCCATGAGCTGCATGTGGATTTTTTGAGGCTTATTTTGCTATGTGTAGTGTTGAACATCACAGAAATAGTTCACAGACCTTTTTTCATTTTTTAATTTATTTTTGGTCATCAGCTTTTGTTAGTGTTTATTTATTTAATGTGTGGCCCAAGACAACTTTTCTTCCAATGTTAAGCAGGAAAAAAAAAAAAAAAAAAGGTTATACACCCCTGGAAGTGAAAGTAACTCCCAGGGGCAGTGCCTGTGGCTCAGTGGGTAGGGCGCTGGCCCCATATACTGAGGGTGGCGGGTTCAACCCTGGCCCCAGCCAAACTGCAACAAAAAAATAGCTGAGCATTGCAGCAGGTGCCTGTAGGCCCAGCTACTCAGGAGGCTGAGGCAAGACAATTGCCTAAGCCCAGGAGTTGGAGGTTGCTGTGACGCCACAGCACTCCACCCAGGGCAACAAAGTAAGGCTCTGTCTCTAAAAAAAAAAAGAAAGAAAGAAAGAAAGAAAAAAAAAAGAAGTTCCTGACCTGTGGAAATACGAACAATCCCCTCAGCTTTTGAAGGTGGGGGTGCCGGGGTGGGGGATGAAATGCCTGGAACCAAGCCGGGCTGCTTTCAGCCTTGAGCTCCTGTGCCCATTTACCCCAATGGACTGTGTGAACATTATCATTTCTGTATGTGCCATTACCGGCAAAAGTATAGGAAGAGCTAATACAAAGCATAGATAGCTACATTTATTTTCTCAAGGTAATGCCAAAGGTTAGGAAGCACGTGCATACGCTTTACGACTGATTTTATGTTGCACACAGAAAAGTAACTGCATTCCAGCAATAATGATTACAGAATAATGTTTCTCTTTACCACAAAGTTCCCTCACTAAATATAAATCCACTGATTTGAAGTTTCCATAGAAATATCAATTATCATGAAACCTCTCTATAAATATTAATCCCAACATCATACAGTACAATTCTACACTTTGAAAGTGGCGAAAAAGGACACTAGAACATTTTAAGTATTGCTTTTAAAAATGATTTGTCTACCTGAAGAAAAGTTGGAACAAGACACAGAAATAAGTAGTTATTTCTAAATACATTCTAAAATAACTGCCCGAACCTGAGAACCCATTCCTTGTCAACACATCCAGAATATCTCACATTAAGATAGGATAAAGAGTTGGTTACTCTGTTTGATCACATCAGAAGCTGAAATCATCTCTCTCAAGGTGGCAGCTTCTAAACAAGGAGAAATCTTAAAAGAGAAAAGTGTCTCGCCTATAACCCCAGCACTCTGGGTGGTGGAAGCAGGCAGATTGCTTGAGCTCAGGAGTTCGAGACCAGCTTGAGCAAGAGTGAGAGACTCCATCTCTAAAAATAACTGGGTATTGTGTAGTCCCAGCTACTCAGGAGACTGAAGCAAGAGGACCACTTAAGGTTGCTGTGAGCTATAACACCACAGCAAGGTGACTAAGACTCTATCAAAAAAAAGAGAGAGAGAGAAAAGTGACTCTAGACCAGTGGTTCTCAAACTTTCATTTGCATCAGAATCATCTGGAAAATGTATTAAAGCAAAGGTTGCTAGTCCCAGCCAGAGTTCATGATTCAGCAGGCCTATATGGGGCCCTACAATTCACATTTTTAAAAAGTTTCCAGGCAATGCTGGTGGTCCAGGGACCACAGGGTTCTAGACCCTAAGCCAATGTGTGACTTGAAAATTGCTAACACTGGACCTAGGAGAAGAAATGTCATCAGCAAGTCACTTTAGAGTTAGCAGAACATTT